GATGAAAAACTGATTATTAACAACAATAAAGAAATTATATGTATTATATGAGATCTGTCTCTGAATTGAGTCATATAAAATTATAAAATAATTCAATCATTATCATGTCGAACACGAATAAGTTAAAACCGTATTTTTGCTAAAAATACGGTAAATATTAATACATATACACACAATTTTAGTGTAAGTTTTATAAATCTCAAACTAGTGAGAGAGAAATGTCGCAAGTTACATGTTTGACTGCACAATGCGACCTTTATTATTCGAATTGTTCTATCCGTTTTATTCGGAGTGTACAAATATCCGAATATTCGTTCCCCAGCTATTCGAAATCCGGATACTTCGAAGTATCCGGATTACGAATAGTCGATGACGTCACTATCCGAATATCCGGATTATTATTTATTCGAATAACCGCAGCTCTAGTAGTAATACAAAAAAATGTGTTTTACATGAATCAGTTACAACATACAGATGCAGGATGTGAATAGAAAATAAGAATGTAAAAAAGATCAAAAAAAAAAATTAATATGGTGACATATATAAAGTAATTTGTGCACATAGTTAAATATAAAGTAATACTTAATATTATGTATACTTTTGTTGTGTTCTGTTTGCAAAGTCGCAAAAATAATCCGGTGTGCGTGTTGTACGCAAGCGTGTAAGAATCCATACGCAAGAAAAAAAATATCGAGACTTACGTTCGCAATCAGTTTTCACAGTTTGCCAGTTGCTTTCAATTATTACATTCTCTGCAAGTAATGTGCATTTGACTGAATAAACAGAACCAGGATTTAAATGAGTAAAATATCCTATCAAATGTGTCATATTTTGAAACAGTCTATTCCATGATTGTGAAGAAGTGTAATTATTTTCTCCCTGTGGAAAAGAATGCCAAAGAACTTCATTTCACTTGTTTTCCTTGGAATGTGTAAAACAGTGACTAAACTTATAGCTCTTAGATTACAAAACAAGGTTTTTGATACTTTGATAATAAAGTATCATCGAAAAAAAACTACTTCTTTGATTAGTATAAAAGAAATTGAGAAGAAATTATTATTTACCATAAGAGTGAAGAAATACTTTATCGTTATTTGTTCATATTTTTCCTTCCACACTATAGGAAGTTTAGTACGAATGCTTGTTGAAGTAACAGAGACAATTTCAGGTACTGTGAGCTTTTTTATACCTTAAAAGGTAATATAGCGCATTTGTTTGTCTAATAGCTATTATAAAATTGACAGAAGTTTCTGACAAATATAATCAATGTACTGTATCAGTAAAAGTCAGAAATTACCTATGTGACACAAAGGTGGCACGTATTTTAATTCTGATGTATCATTACATCCGCTTATACATTCTCCAGTTACTTTGTCACATTTAAGAGTGTCAGTAGGTTTACAAAAACCACATTTTTTTATACAATTATGTCCATACGAATTCTCGTCACATACTGCAATTACATGTATATATTATCAATATGTGATATTAGTATGTTATAATAGTGTTACGTCCTGGATTTCACGGTCCCTCTTTTTTGTTTAGCAACGTGGGAACGATATTTTGGTCCTAAGGATCGTAACTAATTGTAGGTAATCTTAGACGTAAACTTCTTGGATGAAGAACGAAGATTCGGCCATTGGCGGTAAACGAACAATAATCAGTTTGTACTTGGGATACTGCCATGACAAGTAAACAGATTTGATTTCCAATTCGCAGTAAGACAAAGGGTGATAAAAAGTGTTGCACAGCAGGTGAGGCGAGTAACTCGAATCGAGCCGATGAAAATCAAAGGTCTTCTTATCTCCGGAAAAGAAGTTGAAGTCAAAACTATGTGGTCAGCCGAGCGAGTAGTTTAAACACGATAGCGTGAAACCGATAGCGAGTTTTAAACAAATAATAATTAGTCCGAAGTGGCTAGCGCCGATGATTGACGCTCTCGCTTATGCGGATCTGCGAATCAAGATACGATTTTTAATCTAAATAATAAGAAAGGATTTAGAATCCAAGCTTGATTGGTAAAACCCAAGTGTCTGGGAGCCAAAAAACCGAGTATAAAAGCTGGAACTCAGAGCTGAAGAGCGTCTTCATCCTCTTTTCATTCAGTTCAATAGTTTGCAGTATAGTACGTCTCAAATTCTTTTAATTAAGTTAACGGTCCGTTAGTTGATGCGATAGCGACAAGTAGTGGCAGTGTCTTGGCAAGAGCAACCGAGTCAGGAGCCGAGCCAGCTTGCTTACTCCGCAGCCCTGGTCAAGGTAGATGTTTGAGTATTCATCAAAGAATCTTAGCAAGTAGTAAGTGGAAATAATAATATTCATGCGTTAAGACAACCGGTGGTTTCATTCTTAAACTTTATCTAATTCTGTATTTTACTTGAGACAACTACTATCCGGAACATTTGACTGCGTTGAGCTGGCACTTCTCATTTCTGCTTCTGTCGGACTAGCGACTCACACTCTTGTGTGTCATTCCGAGCCGCTGCCAACATTCTTTTCCGACGATCTATCCTCTATAGTGCTAAACAATGTAAACTAAACCACGTTCTGGAAGTTGGTTATAAAATTATTCGGTGTTAGTTAATAAAATTAAATTATGTTTTTAAGTGGAACTCCGGAAGTATCTGAAATTTCGAAATGCGATTATAACAAGGCGCAACCGCCGCAACCGGGCTCTTCGGCGCAGAAACGTTGCCAGCCGAAATAATCAAGAAACCAATGAAATTAATAACAAGGCGGAAGAACCAGGAAATAGAAATCGCCAGAATTTAAAACACATTCGACTCTACACCGGACTCAGTCGCCTCTCCCTTTTCCTCCGTCGCCCCCTGCGCTTTCTCCACCCCCTCCGTCTCCGTCACCTCTTTTAGAATCTTCATTGTATTCTCCAGAATCTCCTGGAGAAATTCCTGATTTTGATCTCTCTTTTATCCCTCCTCGTCACCATTCTCCCTCTCTTTACCCCAAATCATCGAAAACCTGAAATTCTGTCAGAAGACAAAGAAGACCCTTTACCTCGCCAATTGTCACATTTTATATTGCTAGCTAATTCTTTTCCTGTCGCTGACCCTCCTCCTTCGAGGAATGAGTTAATTCTTGACCTCCAAAGGAAATTTCCTAATTCTCTTTGTCATGCACAGTTAGTACTCTCCTCTCTCTGATAACAATATTCTAGTTAAATTTCCTGATTTCCCTGAAATCCGCGAAGTTCCTATAAATTATTTCTACCGATCCTCGTCCCTCAGCTATAATAAAAGAAATAATAGAAGTGATCTTGGACTGAGTCCAAGCTACATACATACATAAATTCATACACACACGTTCATGTGCATGTAGACACCTGACACCGCAGAAATCACAACATTGTGACCACATGTAAAACCATAACGAATAAATAGATCGAATAACAATGTTAGTAGAGTGACATTTAAGTAAATTTGGCTAAAGTTAATTAATCCTTGGACCTTACATAACCATTTTTATTTCTGTCATCCTTCAATCGATCGCCGAGTTCCATTCCGAGTAATTTAAATTAGCATTTAAGACTCAAAAGAAAACCGACGAGCGAGAAACCGTTGGACGAGCAATAGCGAGAACCGCTCGTTTGGTTGTTTACGAAGCCGAAAATCTCGCTCGACCCGCGCACTTGACTCGCATATCTCTTTCGGTCAGTGTGTCGAGAATAGACACACAAAGTGTCATGTGTCGTCTCTACTCAAGGGCCCGACCGTTACTGTAGGCCAGGACGTAACAGTACTATAAAATAAAACTATAAGTGAATTATCCTAATTTACTTACTATTAGTACATACATTGCCTTGAAATCCTGGAGAACATAAACAACCAGTGTTGTAACAAATTGCAGTTCCTCTGCAGTTAAAGGTACTGTTCAGATCATGTTTGCAGGAAAAGGAACATTCTGGTCCAATATGTCCCTCAAGACAAATTTTATCATCTGTGAGATATGATCATAGGAATGCAATTATTTTGTATACAATGTATTATAGAATGGTATCGATTACAAGTACAACATTATTGTATTGTGCTATTTGAGAAATCATAATACAGGAGTTTGAAAGAATATTAGAATACACAATTTTACATGTAATAATTTTAAAGTTAATAAATACCTAGATCCATACTGTTTGTTGCTGTCGACAGAGAACTTACGACGGTATTTTCGTTGAAGAATAATTTTTGGCATGTTACATTCGGCAACAGAATAAAATCATAGTGTTCTTGTATACCACTTACCTTTCTCAAAACTTCTAATAGAAAACCATAAACCACAAAAAAGATTAGTATAAAAAAATATTAGTGACAATTTCTTAAGAAGTTTCTTAAGTAATTCACTTTATATTTTAATGTTACATATAAATATACAAAATTAAAACTGTATGCATATATATATTTCTACCTTTATTGGGACATTCACGAAGATCACCTATTGCCCACAACGGATTGTGAGTAAGCTTCGTGAGTTTGGGTATTACGCGGATTTTTACCGCACCAATAGTGTCTATAGAAAAATATCCATCAAATTTAACGAGTTGCCACATAGGTAAGCCATGAATCGCAGCATTTAATGAGCCTGTAGCTGTTACAGATTGTAATATTTTTAATCTTTTGGAATCAATCATCGCAACGTCTGCATCACATTCTGCACATAAGCCTAATAATAATTGTATGCATATCTTCTGAGTATTAGGTATATAATAACGAGTCGTCAAAACTGCAGTCTTGTCAATTGTGTGCAGAAAAGAGTCTGGAACAGTTATACGTGAGTTTTATTCGTAGTATTTAGTTTTTATTGCACTCAATTAAGCTATTTTATATTATTCTTGCCGTTTTTGAAATACTTATTTTGCAAGCCGCGTGCATAAAAAAATGTGTATAAAAAATACTATATATATATAAGGCTCTTATATATATATATACTATATATATATATATATATATATATAAAAGTCTAAAAAATCATCTGGGGCCAGATTTGTACTGAAACAAAAATTAATAGGCCGTCCGATTATTGTTTTTTTGCATTTTGTAATTCTGTGCGAGATGGCAACTCTCCGCCACCGAGGGACCTTCACTTTAGGACAACAAAACATGACTAGAGCAAAGCAAATAGAGAGAAAGAAAGAGAGAGAGAGAGAGAGAGAGAGAGAGAGAGAGAGAGAGAGATAAATATATAGATACACTGCTTTATTTATATCACGCTCTGGGATAATCTTCTCAAACGCACAAAAATAACAAAATTAAATGATATATAAAACAAAAATAAAATAAAAATAAGGAGAATAAAAGAATAATTAAAAAATAATAAATAAATATAAAATGATAAGAAACAAAACTATGAAAAAATATAGAGAAAAAATATAAAAGAAAGTATAAAAAGTATATAAAAGTATAAAATAAAAATATAAAAACGAAAACGAAAAAAAGAATAACAAGCTACAAATTTTTCTGCAGTAAATGTTCAAAAAATCGATTTTTAAAATTGTCGTAGGGTTCCTTGCGAATATCTACCGGTGTCGCATTTCAAACGTCTACACAGACACACTTAAAAGAGCGTCTGAACATTTCATTTCTACTTCTAGAGAGTTCAAGATCATCCCTGAGCAATCTTGCTGGTTTACATCTTGCCTAAAAACGAATGAGCTATAAAGCACATCGTCGTCTTTTAGTTTCAAGGATTCTGCAGACCAGACAGCTCACGAACTACTCTCTTCTTGATTTAATCTTGAGCCATTGTAATTCATCAAAATATGGCGTGATGTGCTCACACCAACTGGCTTGATATATGAACCATAAACACACAAGTGTTTAATGCTCTTTGCAAACGCAAATCGTTTTCTCCAGTTAATATCCGTAAAAAGTGTACAGCAGTAATGAAAGTAGGATATAAGCAATGTGGAGACCAATCTTGTCCGAAGTGCCGGTGAAAGCAAAAATGTTTGTAGACCTTCAGACGATGAAGAGACACATTTACTCGAGCAATTGTTGACTTGTTCATCCCATGAGAGAGTATTTGTAAGAGTTATGTCTAGATATGTTACTGAATCTTTATATGATATATTTATTCCTTCTATCGACGGTAAGTCTTCATGAACAATGTTTTTTATGTTACCTTCCAGTTCCAAAAATTATTGCAGATGTTTTACCGGCATTAAGAGATAGACATTATCAGTTGCTCACTTTATTACTGCAAATGTCTTTATTAATTTTTGCGATGGCTTCATTTAAGCTAGTTGGTTTTACATGCAGATATATCATTATAAATAGTCCGCATAGTAGTTATATTTGCAGTGCTGCAAGGACTCTCAAAAATCTGATACATAGAGTACATATAACAATGGTCCCAGCACCGATCCCTGAGAGACACCTCTTAGTACTGGCAGCTCATCCAAAAACTCTCCAGTTCCAGGATCACGTATAACTTGCTTTCTTCCATGTAGATATAAACAGATCCAGCGTAAAGAAGCACATAAAAAGTGTAATCTTCTCAGTTTCTCAACGAGTTTATGATGCTCCACACAATCAGACGCTCTGTAAAAGTCAACAAATACCGACACAGTAACCTCTTTTAAGTCGGCTGCAAATCTGATATCATTGAGTATTCTGATAAGAGCAGTTTGAGTAGAGAAGTTCCTTCGGTAAGCGGTTTGATACTTATCTAATTGGTTATTAGACTCAACTACTCGGTAATTTGATCAGCAACCAGACGCAGCACCTTAGATAAACCACAAAGATACATGTCTATAATTTTTAAGCTCAGTGGGACATTTAATCTTCGAGATTGGACACACAATCTATCCTTTCAACAAGAAGGGTAGATTCCATTTATCAGATAAAAATTGAAAATGTGTTCGATAAAAGATCGAAGACTAGTCTAAGCAAGACTGACAATCCTCAGTGACAGACCATCCATCTCGATCAAACTTTATACTATTGCACTGCAAATATCCTGGTTTTCGATGTTCTTCCAGTAAAATTTTGTATTATCATAATTTTCGTCTCTCAGATATAAGGCATTTGAGTTGGTAATACTGCCACTTAGCGAACCAGACAAAAAGAACGCATTCAATTCGTTAGTGGTAAAAAGCAATCTTCTGTCAGAACTTATAAGTCCGAGCTATCAAAGCTTCTTCCAAGAGTAGTAAAGAAATCTTTAATATTAGAAAATACTGACATGTAGTAGTCTTGTTTTGCCTTACGTATCATCATTTTTATGTCGACGCCATATTTCTCTGCTGCTTATTTCTACTGACCATAACAGCTCTAATTTCTGCTGTAATCCATGGAGCGGGCAGATGCCTAGGATAAATAATTTTCAGAGAAGCATGTTTATTTAAACAATCCATCAAGTGCTCATAGAAGCGCATGATCTTCTTGTTTATATTGCAGATATTAATAAACACACTCAAATTGTTATCTGAAAGATCGTAGAGAAAGGCTTCTCTATGAAAGTTACTGTAGTCTCTAACAGTAATAGTTCTTGAATTAGTTTTTTCTACTTGAATGTCATAAGTAACTTCAACGAGATCGTGAGACGAGAGAAAGCAAACATCACGTTGTCCAAAAGAGACGAGTTTGTCACAGTCATCCACAGATCGAGCAGAGTGGAAAAGGATGAAGTATGATGAGTGGGCTTATATGATACCAGATATAGTGCAGATGTGTTTATGAAGTTAACAACCTGGTCAGAATCAAAATTCTTAATCAAAAGATTCCCGTTGAAATGATCAAAAATGATCAAAAATGATGATGTGTCTGTAAGATGTAGCGAGACCAGAAAAAATATTAAAGAATTCGGATAAATAACTACAATAAAGATATATACGAGTCTATATACGACATGCATATGATGTGATAGTGCGAAAACCGGAAGAACGTCCTAAATTCGTCTATATGAGCCAATAACGATTGATAATTGACGCGACAGATCCGGATATAGTCAGATGTCGCGAGAGAATTATCCATTATTGGTATTTCTAACTTTGTCTTGGATACTTTTCTTTAAAATAGAGCAAGCTTTGCCATCTAACTGAATGAATATGCTCTTCTTGTGACCATCTCTTGCAATTCCTACATAGTAAAGCTACGTTCCTCCTCGTGCACTCCCTCATCTCATGTGCTTCAGCACAGTGTCTACTGAGAAGAGAAGCCAAACAGTTTTTGGAGAGATGGCCAAAGGCCAGGCATTTATAGCATTGTGTAACCCTTACATAATCTTCTAATCTGTCGAGTTTATATACATGTGTGTTCCGCAAAAAAGTTTAGAACGAATGTGAGAAGAGACTTTAACCACACAGCTGACAGAAGATCAGTTTCTTTTGGGTGAAACAATATATATGACATTAACATCAGTATCCATCTGCTTATCCACAAATTGAGTGCAATGCTCCATTCTCAAATCCTTCTTAAACATTCCAATTAATACATCATGTAATATAAGACGAGGTTTTTATCTTCTTGATGTGTTCCACTTTTAAATCGGCCTTTACTAATTTTACAGAATCTTTTTATTTTAGCAATGTCACCGAAAGCAGCCTCGATACGTACGCCTTTCTTTCGTATATCTGTAATCCTATTAACTTTTAATTTTAAATTAAAATCCGATGGCTTTATAATTTTCTTGAAAGTCTGTTTTATGAGAAAGAGAGAGAGAAAGAGAGAAAGAGAGAAAGAGAGAGAGTTTTTATCTAGAAACTAGCAGAATAGTAAAAATGATATAATTTTAACAAACAAAATCATGTGATTTTTTTAGATGAGAATTATGAACATATAATATTCTCAAAAACCAGTTTAATGTACGTTCAAGTACACATTTCAAGCTTAAACCTGTTGTTGTATTTATTTTTTAAATGATAATTTGCGGTCGAAATACGGCAATTTGAAAAATGTCTAATTTGAAGCGATTGAAAACTGTTTCTTATGTTTATGGCCTTAGTCATAAAAGTATAAAATAAATAAAGTTATCGTTTTTACATTTTGCAAGATTTGATTTTATTATGTAAACACAAAAACTACTTTTTTATACAAAAAGTAGTACTTAATATGTAAATGTTTTTTTAATTTATTCTATACAAAATTAACAATTTGAAATTTATTTGACTGTGTGAGATGTTTCAAAATTTAAAATTGAGAAATGAGTGCAGATCAATAAAAGCATAAAAACACAGTTGATGTAATATGGATGTTTTCTTTAGTTACAAAGAACAGACGTTTTGACCATCGGATTTGGTTTTTTTTTTAAATATTGATAAGTATGACAAAGCAGTAAAAACATCTTTTAAAATCGTTTTTCTTTAAAATTACGAAAATGTGATTTATCACATTCTTCTTCTGTGATCTTTATATTATATTGTCGCACACGTATACACAATATCTACAAATTATCGTTTTGGACTTCTTTAAACTCATTTCGTCACGAATATGTCGTTAAATACTTGAACAACAGATACGTGTTTGGCAGACAAAATTACTTCGAAAGAATCTATTCGCATTCGTCAGATCACAATTTGTCGGACAGTGTTTTGATTTGGTTAGAATAAAGTACAGTACTTTAATAAATAACTTTTTTGATTTGAATGAATATACTTACAGTAATGAAAGCGATACAACACTGTTCGACGTTTGTAATAATTTGATGTAGGAAAAGAAAATAAGACAACCTTTTCTTCTGAAGTTAAGTCAAACTGTTCTGCTTCAAATGTAAGCATTTCGTTATTAGTACCATAAACAGAAATATTTCTTTTCCAGAAATCCCATGAAATGACAAACGTTCGCCATTCAGTCGCAGATAATGACAAGCACTGAAATAATTGTGAATACTTTAGTTAAATATAATGCGTATCTAGCTATCTTGTTTGTATCACGTTTCCTGAACTTTTATTCTTTTCATGATATTTTCTTTTCTACCAATGTCGTAAAAAAGTATTACACATAATCACTTATATTTCAAATACAAGCATTTTTGTTCAGGTTTGACTAAACACTTTTTTGATAATGTAGAAAAAAAACATGAGAACTGCATAACTAAGAAGCTATATTTTACGTATATCTTACTTTTTCGCAAGTTACGATGGAGGAAGAGCAATTGTGATTGAAAACCTTAAAATCCCGTATATCAGGATGAGGAAACTTTTGAATAGAAACAAATTTGCAGAAGTCGATGCTGGATTTTGTCTTGTATTTTAATAGTATCCGAAAGCAATTCTTCCACACATTTTCAGCGGTAGACCATTCTCTGCTCTTATCAGCATTAGACCATTCTCTGCTATTATCAGTGAGACAGATAAAAATCTGTGTGTCCTGGCATGAACGAATTGAAATAGACATCGCACCGGCCTGTAAAAGGCCTGCAGTGAAGGAATTCTCGTTGTTGTATAATTCTACGAATTGTAAGTATATATATCATTTAACACAGTAACAGTAAATTTACACTTTACAAACATATAATGACGCAGTGACTTAAATACTTTAAATCACTAATTGATAAAAGTTTTGAGATATTGTAAATTTACCTTCCCATCTTTGATCAAATACCGGACCCATAGGTGTTTTTATAGATGTTGTAAGAAACCAGTTTCTTCTAAACCAAGATTCTAAACAGTTTGGATCTGTATATTCTATATTTTCAAATCCTAGTATTTTGCACTTTATCCAAGTATTGTTTTTATGTATACTCTGAGGCTCTACAAATGCTACAACAATATGCTTGTCTAAAATAAGCGTATAGTCTCGAGACAACTATGATACTATATAAAATATTTGGCATTACTTTAAATAAAAATATTGATTTCCGAAATTTAAGGTACAGTAAAATTGATTTATAAAGAAGGTTGGAAACGTGTATTTAAGCGCAAAAGAAAATGCGTATAAACAAAAGTGAAACAATTTGTTAAGAAACTTTATTTTAAAAAGTTTAAGTGCAAAACTCTATATAAATAGTAATTTGTTGATATGTTATAAGAACGTTATAACACTTACACTTAGGAGTAAGAGTTCCTTGCTGATATTGTTTTATATCGTCATTCCATACAAGTGCGCCGCCGTCGTCTTCTGACAGACATATATATTTTCTCTCAATTACTAGATGATGTATATTAAATGAATAAGGATAATGTGAACTTCCACGTAAAAGAATTACTTTTCCACAACTGTGAAATATTTGAGCAGCGAAAAGTAAAAACCATAACATCCTTTGCATTGTCATTAAATATGTTTCACTTTTACAGTCGATTTTCATAAGCGGTAAAGATTATCAGAAAAGAATAATCGAATCAAAATAGAAACTAATTAGATATTTTATATCTATACACATATATACTTTCCACTATAAATTTTATATATACTTTCTATTGTAACACATTAATAGAACCACAAACACAGCGAATAGTTACTAATAAACCTTGAATAAACCATGATTTTTTATGTGCAACTTGCTCTTTTAATCGTGATTGTAGTAAACAAAATCTTTTTTTATGATAGTTTCACAGAGTAATCGCAACGTGGATAGTATTATTCACACGGCATATATTTGTACAATAAATGTTTTCTGTTTATTCGATCAAGAAGAAAGATAAAATACCAACACAAAAAATAATATTGTTACTATCGCATGATTCAAACATTCAAGGATGAAATACGAAATTGTTAACAGATTAGTTGACCACGATAAAGTCAAATTTTTTTGCGAACTTCGCAGTGTTACCGCGACAATTGGACTGTCATTGTAATAAGTTTAAAAGAGAAATATTGGTGGAAAGGAAACCACACTTCCTTTTATGAATCCGCGATAACAATTCTATATCTGCTAAATTTAACTGACGCATTAGAACTCTTAGTGATAAGTCGACAACATCTATCGACAACTGTGCAAATGATTTTGAATAATGTTTTAATCGTAGATTGGCACTAGATCCTTAAAAGATGTCAAAACCGTAAAATTTAATGACATCGTACGGTACTTTTTATAAGTGCGAAACATTTGTTTAAAATTAGCTGTGAATTTGTCTATAATAATAACATAAACAGATCTTAGTAAAACACAAGCTTGACTGTTTTATACTTCCTGATCTGTTGCAATCCATTTTCCGAAATTTTTATATTACATTATGAAAGCATCAAATATCAAATATCAAATATATAATGTTGTCAAAAATATTTATTATTCTAACACATGTATATTAAGAGAGTATATATGAAACATTTTTAAGATTATATAGATATGAACACCGATTCACATCAATATAATAATTATTAAACTTTTACTTAACGTCCATAATTCCATGACGTCTAATGAACATGTTTAATAGAGATTTATTACATGTGATAAAAAAGGTAAAAACAATTGTTTTGCAGCTATACGTATAATGATGAAAAATTAGATGTTCCCGTAAGATAACAAGAACTGTATTTATATACAAATACTATGAATTAAATATCTACAAACGTAGAATCGCCTGCTTTTATATTTCGTTGTTAAATATGAGAATAAAATATTGAACGACAATACATATAAATTACTCTAATCGATTGACACATATTTATACAGTAATGGTATAAATAAAGTTGATTAACATACACAAAAAAATATTTTCCTATTCTTTTCACATCACAGGCCGATATATGCGGCTTGAGTATAGTCGGCTGATTATAATACAAATATTATTATATCTGATTATAATACAAATATTATTATATCTATTATAAACAAAAAAATACAATGTATACATTTGTTTAATAATTATGTCATTAGAGTCTTTGTAATGAAAGCACAATATGAAATATATACTCGTAACCGATTGTTCTACATAAATCTATACGACTAATCTCTTAGCAGAATGCAAAGGTTGCTTTCAATTATATAATCATATTATGTATAACTATCATCTACATACGTACATACATACGTATGTGTATATATGTATGTATGTATATATACATATACGTATTCGTACACGCACACACAACGTATTTCTTCATGTTAAAGGCCGAAGCACAGACTTTTGCGTAATGCATAACGCATAAGACATAAGAGAATTAACCGATCAAAGCTTTCTAGAACAAGAAGTAGAAATGAAAACGAAAAGCTGGATTGGTTAATTTTCTTATATGTCATATGCGTTATGCAAAATGTCTGTGCTTCGGCCTTAAAGAAACATATTATGTACAAAGTTAACAGAGTGTGTGTACACACACTGATATATTTTATTCTACTTTTATAGCAAGAATTGTAAGATTTTTGCTAGCTCATGATTACGAACTCTGATATGCTTTGCAAATTCGTCAGTTTCTCATACACCTGTGACATTAATTTTTACGTAATTACCTCACCGCAAAAAAAACTGCTCTACGAATGCTAAAAGTACTATCGTTTCCATCATAATGGATGTTTATCTACATGTTATTAACATGGGAATTAAATAATAATATTCAATAATAAGTTTGCTACATATAGCACTTCGTCCTCTAGTGTAAACTTTACGCACGCATTGGTATTGAGCACATTAATTTATATCTCAAAGAAATATTAACATTTAAAAAAAAAAAAAAAGACAGTTACATAACTTGTACACATACATTTCAACAAGTCACGACGTTTCTTTTTGAATTTATTGCACTAATATGCTGGTAATAACTAACACCTTTCTCGCTTCGTCATTACGAAGAACTTGAGCTGTAACGCGCTTGCACGTCAATCAGTGATATTTTTCGTCGATATGTAATGTATGATATTAGAGAATGTGCGTGTGTGTCGCGCACAATAGAAAAAGTATTTTACAATTGTTTTAAAGTATAGTTCTGCGGAATTATCTCAGTCATGCTGTGCTGGTGTTACTCGCATTTCACTCGCAGTACATCCACTTTACTTTTCTCGATATTATGTAAAATAAAACTGATACCAATGGAATACGGAAGAAGATATTAGATACTACGTGTTACGCAATTATCTACTTTATCTTTAGACGCAATGTATGACAAAACGGCAAATAAAATATACTTTCATTTCTTCAATACGTTCAACATGTTTACCTTAAATGAATAATATTATATGTCGCATAGAATAAGTGCAAGTTTATGGCAATATGTACACGAATGTGTGTAAAAAATATAGCAGATGACAAAAATAAAAGAAACGGCAAGTGAAAATTGTTACAAAGATATATGTACAACACGCTAATGTTTTACACGACTATTAAAAATTTGATTTCTTTCAGCATCATTAGCCCTCGTGAATTGCGCATTAATTGCTATGGGAATCCTACGAAGTGTCGTACAAGATATTTACAAAAAATGGTATCACAATATCATGCGAATCGATAAAAAAAAAAAAAAAAATTACGTTATATGATGAACGTAATTAACAAAATAGTAGCAATGTACATTTTGTAGTGGTAATTGTAATAGTTTTTTCTCTTACTCGTACTACATTATTGCACAACGATAGAAAAAAATACCTCTACTATTTTCCGCACAAGTGTCACAAAGTACTTAATCATCAAACAGCAATGTGTTTCGAACCTTACAGCTAGAACTCTTCTCTTCTCTCCGCGAGTTTAAGTAATCGATTGGTAATAAGTTATTTGATCTTTTCCACGTGACCTCATTCATCACGTGAGTCAACCATCGTAATTCGACTAGTGTCGAGAAAATATATAATATAATTTCATAACATTATATGTTTGTGTAGAATTAATCCTCTCCCCCCCCCCTCCCTCCCGTACAATTTATTATTATTGTACATAAAATCTTTGATCTACATAAATATTTTGTTATTTACAACACATAGAGAGTGGCGCAAACTAAAAACTCTTCTCTCGTTGATCTTTAAAGAGACGATAACTCAAACAAAATGCGGTCCAATTTACAGTTTGAATATTCACACAAAAATATTCTGTTATATTTTTTTTTTTTTTTTAAGCGTAGAATCTTTTGAACAAGTCAAAACTCAACAAAGTAAAACAGCACGCATGACGGAATTACCAAAGAGACAAAATAAGACATAAGATAGCAGATCTATATCTTGGAATCTTGGAAATCTTGGAAATTAAACGAGAGAAAAAATATCCTCTAGATATAAAAATTCGCCACGGTGCATATAGAGGGCATCACAATAACGGACGGAAATAAATCTTACGAAACTCTGACAGATCTCTCTCTTCTTAATTAGAAACACAAATAAACAATCTGTGTTTCCAGCTTCTTCGATCAAACGTATACCTCGCCTCTCTTGCTACCAGCGATTGTCGCTGTGGTAGATACGCTCGTGGACGACGCTGAAGAACCTAAACCGCTCGAGAGCGACGCATTGGTACAGGAAACGCTACTAATCTTTCTTGATGCGTCCTGAACTTTCTGATTGGATTTGGATAAATCGTGACCGAAACTATTGGTTCTCGGTCGAATACCCTGATTGCTGGTCACAACGGCCAGTCTTTCCACATTGAGACCGTCTTGTCTGCTTGATACGGAGACGGCGCGTGTTTCTCTCGGTTGTAATCCCGGAGATTGCGGCAGCGACATGCTTCTGTCGTCCCGACAGATTTGCACGACAGGCGGTCCAGGCAAAGATGCGGATCGTCTTCCTCGCGCATCCGTGTTGTCATTCTTAACTGCTGGCACAGCAGCGGTGACCACGTAGCCGAGTTTCTCGGGTCTCATCAGTATTGGGGAACGATCGTTGTAGCCGTCGAAAACAGGCGAGCTACCGTTGCTACCTAACGGACTGTTGTTGTTGTCGATCAACGGAGTCGATCGATCTTCCTGACCGGTTATACTCCCGCTTCTGCTGCTGCCACTTCCGCTACCTTCTTCCTCGCTGCTGTTAACCTCGGTAAGCGTCGCTTGGATACTGTTGCTCTTATTGTTGACGTGAGGCGTCGTTGTTGTTGCCGTCGTCACCAGACCCAGTTGAGTCAGATGGCTCATGGTGACCGGTGTCAAGGTCACAGGCGTCATCAGACCGGCGCTGGTCAACGTGGGCGAGAGCACGGCCTGCGCTAGGGCGGCTGCGCCCGATTTTCCTGAAACAGGTGTGCTCTCTGCTTCCTGTATAGGTGACAATACCACCACCGACAGGTCGGTCGGATAGTGACCATTCGCTGGTATCACGCCGACCACGCCGGCGCCGATGTTCGCCGCGTTGGCGGCCGACAGTGCCAGTCTTTGCTCACGATCAACCACTTCCTTCGTTACATCCGGAGTCGGTATGCGCGGCCTGTTCTTCAGGGATACCGGCACCGAGTTCAGCTTTGTCATAGTACCTGCAATTAGAAGCGAATCACGGCGGGCCGTTAGGCGCGACGTCTGGTTCCGGATTCAGAATGACGTCGAGGACGCACGTAGGAAATGGTTAATGACGTTGCCGATTAAAGTAACATACCGTGGCGTTTCCCGTCTGGAGATGACCGTCGCGTGGAAATAAGTTTCAGACATCGGCGCCTGACAAGAAGACACGTCGCGCGATTGACGAGGATATAATTACACGGATTATACATGATACCTACTTTAACGTCGTTGTATTTTTTTTTCTCCCGTCGAAACGCGCGAGCGAAAAGAAAAGAGTGGAAAGAGTAGTACAAGGACTTTAGAGAGAGTTTTCGCATTGAACGCGAGAAATAATCGCGGAAATTGCGAAATTGCGGAGGTCACACAAGGTCAAACGTTGCATAATCTTACGCGTTGTACATATACGTGGAAGCCGCGATGAAGGAAAAGCTTCAATAATATTCTCCGAGACTTTCTTTCAATACGCAGAAAATTGTGACTCAGAGGAAAAAATTGTTCAACTGGAATTGCCCACACCGTCGAGTCCTTTTCGAAAACACGTGTTATAATAACAGACAATAATTGCATACCAAATCTTTATCGTGCGGCGAAAAAAGTTATACCGCTCGCGTGTCTTGGGCCTTAAATACACAGTTTGTCCGGAAAGTTCCCGGACTGATTTTTTCTAGCGCGGGTAAGCGGCGCTATCGAGCGGTCAACGCTGGAACTACTTAGTATA